TTCAGCAGGCTATGATCATTGGCATAGTTGATGGATTTCTGTTGGTCTCACTGTGCTCAGTTAATGCTAGCCTTCTGGTTCATCTCTGAAGGTTCAGTGGGTCCATGACAGATGGATAAAATGGCCGCTACTGGTTTATCTAAATCTGTTAATACTCCTAGAAGTCTTTCAAGCAGCTTAGCAAAGTAACTTGGTCCAATATCAGACAATGTAAGTGTGCTTAAGCTATACTGTGAGTCAATAGCATGCTGGGAAATAGAGACTAGGAGAGTCATAATGTCAGGATTTTTTTTTTTTTTTTTGTCAAATAAATAAACTTTCTTATCTCCCCCATTGTTTCTGCCAGGTACAGACTGTCTAGAATTTATTTGCTTATTCTTTTGTTATCTGTATAGGTGATCTGACTCATTTATGCTTTCCTTCTTTTCTTTTTTTTTTCTCTTTGGCTTTTTTCCAGACCTGGACAAGCTTTCAGTCTTCCCCTGTCCTTCAAAAAGCAATGGGAAATATGTTTACAAACACTTTTTGGGCAAGATGCCTCATTCTGGACAGTTATGACGTCTTTAGCATTTAATTGTGTTTGGAACTATTGCCCTTGATAAGCTTCTAATAAAGTTGGCTCAACTTGTCAAGGGCAAAATTAAGATTGCTCTGTAACAACTCTAATGCTTCAACTGTTCCATGGTCTTATCTATTTTTAGTGGAAATACTTGATATATTCCTGAGATGAAAATGCATGGTGGATGGAGCAGTGTGGAGAGCCTGTCACTTTCCTGACCAAGTCATGGCTTGAGTCAGCTAGCTACACATCTTTCAGAGCTTATCAGACCATCCATTTGTACTGTGTACCTCAGCCACACAGAAATGGGAAAGGTGTCGTTTTCAATGGAGTTTTTATTAAACAGTACGTTCTCATTAGCTTGTAGAAAAACTGGGCTTCATTAGTGAGATGACTGCTGGCTTGTAGATGTGGTGGAAGGATTTTTTTTTTCTTTTTTCTTCCATGAAGGAAAAAGCATAAAGAAGCCTATGCCTGCTATTCCACACTGCCTTATCACTGAATAACAACTTTATTACTGCTCTGTGGGAAGATGGGGGATATAGTTAACTTGTTTTGGGTCATCCTTCCCTTTACTCCTCTGAACCAATTCCAGGTAATATTCTACTGAGACGGCAGAGACAAACTTACTCTAGCTAGTGATGCTTCACACCATACCATACTTTCTCAGCCTTTGTGTGTGGGCTGGGACTTTTGACTTCTGATACTAAGCTTACTTGATGATGTGATTTACTGATAGATTATTTTCTCTTGTTATGCTCATCTCTAACTTGTGTCTCCTTTTCTCTAAAGTTTGAGAGACAATTGGTGCATATTTTAATTGCCCCAGACTTGATTTGAGTAAGCTA